CGCGGGGCTTCTGCGATGGAAAAGCGCCGGGCTGGTGGCAGAAGGGCAGGGAGAGGTGCAGAAGATCATGGCAAACTCGGCACGAAGGGGGCTTTCCAGCTCCGCTGGACAAATTCCTGCTTCTGGCCCCTTCTGGCTCTTGCTCGAACCAAGTTCCGACTGAACGGGTCTCGGCAGCAGGGGCCTGGCAGCTCCGGAGCACCATGAGCTTTCTGAATGCACCTTGACCAAGAAAGCTGCAGAGTCTTCTCTTCATTTGGAGACACCCCTCAACACCTCTCCCCCGAGCTTTCCCAGTGTTTGTGTGGATTTTGGGGTTGGTTTGGTGTTTAAACCCTGACGCTGGGAGCTTCACATACTGATGGGGCCTCCTCTGCAGCCAGAGGAAGAGCCATGCCCTCCTCAGAAAGCTGCTCAGCAGGGCTGATTGGATGCCATTCAGAAGCACCTGGACAAGCTTGAGAAGTGGGTCCATGTGAGCTTAATGAGGTTCAATGAGGCCAAATGTAAGTTCCTGCACCTGGGTCAGTGCAATTTCTGGTATCCACACAGGCTGGCGGTGAAGAGATTGAGGGCAGCTCTGCAGAGGAGAACTTCAGGGTACTGCTAGATTAAAAGCTCAACGTGGGAATGGGTCTTCTCCATTGGGAAAAGTGATGCAGCCAGTGCCTAACTGCTGGTGTCCTCAGCTTCCTAGCTCACTGGGTCTGGTCAAGTGTCAGCATTGCTCCAGCTGCCCATGGAGAATTCACATTGTGGCTTGGCAGAGGCTTCCTAGCAAAACCTATGCATAGAAAGCCTAACAAGTAAGGAAACTGAAGTGTTCTCTTAGTAGGTCCATCACAGACAGGCAAAATGGCATTAATGATACCATAATGACATGTAAAATATAGTAAATGTAGAAAGTATGTATCAATTTTTAGTTTCAAGTAATTAATTCTTAGTGCTCTCTGCTTTTGCCAGTTATTTGACCTGCTGTAACATCCCATCTCCCATACCTGTGGGTGCTTGTTAGTTATGATTCATCCTTCCAGATGGATGCAGTCCTGGCGTTCCTTGTTTTCTTGGGCTGTGTCAGGCAAAACGTGTCCTAGACTTCTCAATGCTACCTTTATAGTACCAGCCTCAACAAAACTCTTGATTCATGCCAATGCAAGAGTAAAGTTGTGTCTGTGTTAGCTCCTTTTTTGCACGTCACAAAAATGTCTTTTCATCTGTTACTTGTTTCCAAGGATTCATCTTGTCCATTGGGTGCAAGGAGGATACCACTACCTCTCCATGGGCTCCAAGCACTGTGAGAGGTGGTCCAGGCACCACACCAGCAGGCATGGGTTCCCCCTGGGGCCTATGGAGCACCTGGCGATCCCAAGATGGTCACAGGTGGCTTTTGGTGCTTAGATATGAGGAACTGAACTGAGATAAAGAAGTCGAAAAAGGATGATGCAGGACTTGCAGACCTGTGCCTCTGTACTCATAGGTTGCCCTCTAAGCTTCTAGCCAACCTGCTAGACTTTGATTTAAAAGCCTCAAAATGAGCACTTTGTGTGACTTTCTGTTTCCTAAGACACTAACATCTCTTTGGTCCCCGTTGGCAATGACCTCATCAGGGCTGGTGCTCTCTGGTGACTTTTGGGCTTTGAGGATTGAGTGTAAGTTTTTCAATCAAAAACCTGATTTCAAGCACTTGACTCCTCAAAAGATACTCCAGGCTGCTCAGTCAGGCATCTCAGCCCCTGGCCAGCACAGGAGCATTGGCATCCCAGGGCAGTGGGATGGGCAGGCATCCCCCCCAGCCAGGGGATAAGCCGAGACGAGCGCTCAATGGGAGTCACCTGTCCTGAAGCTTATGACATCTTACACTTGGCTCCACAGTGGAGCTGGTTGAAGTTAGCCTCAATCAATGGTTTCACAGCAGCAGAACATGAGGTGAGAGCTAGAGCAGGTGGGGAAGCAGGGGTGGTGGTACGTGGGGCTCGGGTTGTGCTTTCACATCAGGGATGGCTCAGCCTATGGATTCTGTACTGCCTGGGTGCTGAATGAGCTTGTTAAAGCTAGTGCATATGCCTATGTCCTGTATCTATAACATGGTGTGTTAATTGTATTTACCTCTTCTCCTGTTCCCTTCAGGTTCTCTACTCAGTCCTAGTGGCAGCAATTCTTTATCCTGATAAAGCCTGCACTTGTGCTGAAATGACCTCCTAAGTTTTGTCTTCAGCACAACAGTGTTTTTCCAGATCTGTGGAGTTTCTGTGGGATCACAGTAAATACTACAAAAGCCTGTATGCTACACGGCCTCTAGATCACCTGTGCGTGCAGTTTTTAAAGTGCTCGTTGCCCGTAAGAGTTACTAGCACTCTTGATTGCCAGACGTCCAGAAAAAAATATCCCCAGCCTCCTTTGGTCCTTCTGCCACTTTTAGAATAGAAAAAACAGCTAAATCTAAATGCTTGCCTTTTTTTTTTTTTTTTTTTTTGCATCAGTGTTTCGAGGAAACCAAAACAACCCAACCTTCAAACTTCCCCGCCTCGTTTTTTTGCGTGCCTGCCTTCTATGTATGTTGACAACTACTTCTTTGCTCCTGACCACCCGGCTGACCTGCTTATTGGCTCCAGTCACCCCCTCCTTGGTCAGTTTTGTACTTGTCGCTATGGTTAGTGCATTAATTGTGTTGCCTGTTGATGATATATGATTTAATTTGAATTACTACCTTCAGTAAGCCAGGGCGACCGCAGTGAGCTGCTAGCCAGTTGCTTCTTTTCCTAATGAGTAACGCAGCCTTTTGGCTTGCAAATTAGGCTGTCAAAGAGCTCTCAGGTTGGCATCCAGGCTCTGGGTGCCTTTGCTGCTGTGTCCCAGTGAGAAGGACATCACCCCTGTGCTGCAGGCACCTGAGCAGGGCAGGGAGCTTTCAGCAGAGCCTACCAGTGAGGCTTTCACAGCTCAGGAAATCCAAGAAGGGAGGTAGATGTAGAGGGAGGGTGGGATTTGCTAGTCTGCACGAGCTAGACCTGGTAACTGCTCCTGGCTTTTCCTCACAGCAGCCAGAAATGGGTGTATTTGTTCTCTGGTGCCCTGAATGTTTCTGGTACTCGATGTGCAGTTTGATGATGAGCGGTTGAGAAAGATCAGGTAGACGGAGCAAAAAAGAAACAAATCAAATCAAAAGCAGATTGCTGGCAACGCGGTGTGACAGCTTCTTGCTTGCCCAACGCCAGTCTGGCTGCATGATGAATGAAGAGGAGTGAATGAGTCAGCATTTCCTAAAGGTATCCAGTGGGAGTGAACAAATTGGGACTAACCATCCTGATGGTGCTTGGGCCAGCAGACAGGCAGCCTCCACATTTCACCTCCTCCCTCCTCAGGCAGGCACAGAGGGCAGCAACACGCAGCAGCACCTCTGTCACCAGCCGGGTAGGGGCAGCGCGTTGGCATCAGGTCACAGGCACTGCCACAGCAGGATGGCCTGTGCCAGATGGACTGCTACCAAATTAGGTCCCACCTGCAGTTTAACCGGGCTGAACCGTTTATAGAGCAGTGGGAAAACCAGCCGTAAGCCTGCTCCATCCCCTCCGCCAGCCTGTGCCAGCGAGCAGGCCCAGGAGCCAGGGCAGGGCTGCCAGGACAGGCAGAGACCCAGCCCAGGTGGCCCCTCCTGAGCCCCACAGTGCTCACCCGTCCCAGTGGGAGGGAAAGGGAGCTGGGACCCCACCCAGGCAGGGGGTCAGGTGTCCAAAGAGGCACCAGGACACGTTTTATTAACTGAGTTTCATCACAGCAGTAAACCTTGTTCAACTCGAGGTTTAGGGGGTGGGGGCTTTTTGGGACAGCATAGTAGCACTCAACACCTTGCAGAACAACATGACAGCATTGTAAGAAGTTTCACAGCCATGAATCCTTTCATATAAAAAACAGGCATTAAAATGGGTTTTAAAGACCTGCCACCCCTCCTTGTCTTTGAACTTTTGCAGACTTTCTCGTAAAGGTACGTTCCAACCAAATGAGAGGTTGGATGAGCCACCTCTCATGCCATGAGCTGTAAAGTGAGGAGCACAAAAACCAGCTGAAGTGCATTACAGCTGCAAATGACCGTGTCCCTCAAAACAACACCTCGTCTCAGTGCTGGCATCAAATAGACTGAACGTTCGTTAACAGGAAAATATTTTGAATTTTATTTTTTCACGTTATTATCAAGTACACAATTACAATAATGTCACACATCCCTATATGATTCTATGTATTTTGTTTTTTTCTTTTGTCTTTTTTACAAAGTGTACAGAGGGAAGGACGTATACAATATTTAACAGGGTATTTTCTACAGAACAATAATTTATATTATGTCCTTGTAAAAATCTGTACCTTTTTTAAACATTAAACTGAAACATCCATTGTATAGCATTTGCTAAGCAAATTTTTTAAGAATTAAAACTAACCTGTAACTAATGTCAGTACATTAACAATAACTATAATTTCATTTTCTCTTTATACAGACAAATACATTTTACAAAATCCACTTGACCAAACCCTTATTAAAAAAAAAAGTTTCAACATTGTGCTTGGAAAAAAAAAAGAAAAAAAGAAAAAAAAAGTGTATGATTCCAGGCTACGTAAGAGAAAGAAAACGTATAAAATTGTGTTCTTTGTCTTTCAGCTTATTTAAAAAAATAAAGTTCGAAATGGC